ATACCCCACTCTAAGTATTTGTAGAAATTTGAGTGAGATACTAATGCCCTTGATGTCCTCATGGGTCTTTTCTTGAAAGAAAAAAAAAAAAGGTTACAGCTTTCTTCTTTCTGGAAAAAAATGTACCTTCATTAAAAACATATTCCTATAATAATTTTTTAATATTTTATATTTTTTAACAGTCATAATATGTAATCACTCACTGGTAATAAATTAAATATCTTTCTGTTTTTATAATATATAATATATGTGATGATTATAAAGTAAGATAACTCAGGTAGTTCTTTTCTCTAGTAAAAGACTAAATTTAATAGCTTTCAATAAAAAAAAAACCTCAATATTGTTCACGTTAAGTCTAGAATAGGTATAATCAAAGCATGGGTCCTTCCTGGCACAGGGGCACTTTCTAAATTACATACTGTTTTTCATTACAGATTAGTTTCTAAACTTTCCTGAACTTGTTGTCAACACTGAGTTTTCTATTCCATTTGACATGAGCTTTTCACAGAATCACCCTTGCTAGCTCGCCACGTGTGGCTGGAATAGTCACCATTTCTTCTGTTGATCAGTCTAAGTACTGCATAGAGAAAGTCGGCTCTGGTCCTAGTGCATCAGCATTTCCTAAAGGAGGTATTCGAAGTCAAAACTGCAGCGCAGGAGCTGTACACGTGTCTTCGGGCATGTTACTTCATCTTTTTGAAGCCCTGTCTCCTCATCCATTAAATAGGAAAATTGCTTTCACCTCATTAAATACATGAAGTAATGTGCATAATGGTTTCAGGAGAACATTCGCAAATGGCAAGCCTTACTCAACAAACAGTGGGTCTTGTGATGAATGAAATAACATGGGTAACAAAGGTCCCTGACCATGATCTCAGCATCCAAGACACAGAGGTCAGAAAGGGAGATGAGCTCATTAAAATGCTGAGGATTCCGCGAACCTGTGGCCAGTGCTTCTTTTCACACTTCATTATTTTGTGCATCCTGCCAAGTTTGATTCACATTGCCCTAGACTTAGCTACCATTGCTGGAGCATGAATTTAAAAGTTATTGCTCTTAATCTTCATATTGGCGATGATGATTATAATTGAAAACCTCTAATTCTAAAAGCATTCTGAGAAGTCACATGGATTTCACTGGCAAATCTGCTTCAGTGTCTTCCTGTTCATATGGGGACTTCTTCAAAGATGCTAAAGTCTTTCTACATGTAGAATTGTGGTCACTGTCCCGAGCACAGGAGATCTGTCAAGGTAACGGCCAAGTTTAAACAACATTTGTTGAATGGAAGTTCTAAGGTGTATGTAGATTCAAATTTGGTCTCTAATCTGAAATGTGAATAAAGTAAACTTAAAATACTACAAAGGTGTGAAGTTACTTTTAGTCCTCACAGAGGGAGTAAAGAGAGTAATAAAGCCTTCAAAGAGGAGCTTAATCAGATGCACCGAGAAAGTGTTGAGCCTGCCTGATGCTGCCTGGCTTAATAATTGATTTCACTAATTGTAAAGTTGATTATTTCAGGTTGATTGAATATATACATATAAAAATGTCTATATATATATATATATATGTGTGTATAGAGAGGGGCATATTTTGTGAAACTAGATGAAGTTATTTAAAGTAGAATATAGGGCCTAGTTATTTATTCTTCCATTTTTTTCTATTTCTAAATTTATTGCTTTTTTATACTTTATAATCACTTATTAGAACTATCCAAGCATATCTTTTGTGCTCAATAAATATTTATGAAGGAATGAATGAATAAATGTTTAATAAATAATAAAAAAGCTTTAAAAGCTGTGTAACATCCAAACTATATTAAAAATTTTCTAATACATAAAATATATTTACCAAAGTTGACTTATTGAAAATAACAGTATATCTTTTATAAAATGATTAGTGGAAATAGCTAAAAACAATATAAATTATTATGTATCTTTTTAGAATATCTTTAACCAAAAATTATATTTTCTCAATTTTTTGCAATGGAGTTTTCTTGTATATGATATTAAACTGCTCTGCCATATCTACTTGAAATCAAGGAGGTTAGCTCAGCACACCCTTTACACACTCCATGAACTTTCTTCAAGTAGAGGAGCGAATACTTTCTTTCCAGGGACTCTGTTAGATATTAACAATAAAATAGTCAAATAATTTTTCCTAAAACTAACAGAAAGCATTGAGAAGGGAACAATAGCAGCGGACTCCAAGTCTTGTGGTAATAATACAGAGACAGAACAATATGGGGAGAGTGGGGTAATAATCCACATCTTGTTCCCCAGTGATGATCTATTTATCAGACAATACGGACAAGTCAACTTTGTATTTCATCATTGCTTAGACTTGCAATTTTATGAGTGCATAATTTTCTAGATAACAAAGAAACCTTTTATTTTACATTGCAGGAACTCAATTTAGAATCTAATACATGTTTTCCATACTTCATTAATTTATATACAGAACACATATATTTTTCGGGATGTTTCACTCTACTCCATTCCTGCCTATAGTATGCCAAAGCTGCACAACTGGTTAACTGTAAGGAAAGGATGTGTAGGCCTTTTAGTCCACCCCAGATCTCAAATAAAGACAAATAAGTACTTTGAACCCTGCTGTAAATTATCAGAAAATTTCATACTTAAATCAGGTTTTCAGGATTAAGACTTTTGAATCTTGGGTATTTACCATATTATTATTATTATCATTATTATTATTTATTATTATTATGTAACCTTTGGTTTTTCAGTTTTGCCTCAGAGCCCAGGGGAAAGATATCCTAAATTTGAAAAATAACTACTATCCAATGATTATCTTCTGTGATAAAAGAAACAATAAATGATGAATACGTGCCTTTTAAGTAATAATGTGTTTAAGTTAGCAAGAAAGAGACTCAGGTGCATGCTTAGGGCAGTTGCTCTCATTCCTGCTTGTTTACCACAATAATCTATGAAGCTTTAAGAAGGACATATGTCTGGATCCCCTGAATTAGAGTGTTTGGAGATGAAGAAGGTAGATCTATGCAGCGATGAGAAAACTGAACCAGGTACTACTCTGGCCACAAGTCTTGACAAGCTCATAGGACTATTCAGAGAGTACACTACACACCATGCTACAAGTGTGTGTACATGTGTGGTAGTAAAAAAGACCCTGCATTAGTTACATCAGTGAAGTGAGCGATTACAACCTACGTGCAAATCTTGTTTTGTTTTCCTCATGAGATCTGCTGATCAATCTGTGATATAATTCAGGTTTTATTATCCCATCTGAGCATGATGTACAAATGCGTGTACTCACTTAAAAGAAATCAGGCATTCTCTCCTCCCCCACTTATTCTATATAATAACACAGCTCCACTATAGCATTAATTTAAAAACTTACAGGGCAAACATGTTTTAGACATAAACACCACATAGGAATGGAGTACAAAAGTATACCACAAGAAAGCTTTGAATTTTGATTCATGTAATTTCTTGTTGGTTTTCCTAGGAGGTTTATCTATTAATAAACACATAATGTTTCAGGGAACAATTTTGCAAGGGGAAATGCATGCAAAGGTTTTCTATGTAGCCTCATTTTGCTTCTATAAAGTAAAAGATAAGATCTACATAACTAAATTCTGAATTTACCTGCAAAATGTCTTGGGCCAACATAGATCATTAAGTATTGTATGTTTGAATCTCTTACTTTGAACTTAATTACTATGATAAATATGTTTTATGTAGAAAGTAGGTGCTCTTTTATTACATAATATTTCGTCACGTTCCATCAGCCCCTGTATTCAGATCATCCTATAATTTTAACAAATATTAATGCTATAAAAATTTTAAAAAAAGAATCTGTACAGTTAGAAACTACATCTCTTACATTTGAAGATTTTATATATATGTGTATATATATGTAATATGATACATACCTTACTTTCTTAGATTTCATGCAATAATGTTAACATTTCTGGAGGTCTTCCTGATATTTGAAATTTCTTCATATGACAATGAAAATCTTTGAAGCTAAGAGTTCTCACATGTTTGTTTACCATGGGTCTGAATAAAGGGTTATTACTGTATGTCTATGTAAGCACATAGGTGTATTTAACTCAATGTATTAGCCAATTGTATTTTATAGACACAGGGCCATCTTCATGTAAGTAACGGAAACATACTTTGCATGTTACAGAGGCCCGCAGTGTTAAAAGGTGATTGTTGCAGAGATGATAACATGGTGTAACTGAATCTATGAAATGATCTAGAATGTTCCTTGATAAATATACTCTTTCTGCATGAAATAGTATTTTAAAAATTAACTTGCGGCTGCCACTTTTTTGGTGACCATTCAATATTTTTGTTCTTTTTTGTGGGTGTTCTGTTTGTTTGCAGTCAGATGAGTGAGCCCCATAGCGGTTTGACGCTCAAGTGTGCCAAGTGTGGAGTAGTGTCTACAACAGCTTTGTCAGCCACCACCGCCAGTAACGCCATGTTAGTCCCAATCATTTACATCTTCTTGTTATCAGTTGTACATGTGCATGTGAGAAAATGCTATGACGGAAAAAAAAATTGTGTTTGCTAATACTTGAGTGTTTATCATTGGCAACTGCCTTTATAATGATTGTGGGACAGTCTATAAAAGAAAAGTCAAATTCTGAAGTGTTATCTGCTTTGTGCTTTCCAAGTTAATGGTCTTGGTGCCATGCACAAGAATGCTTTTGGGGAGAGTGAATGGGGGTTTGGTTATGGCCTGGAGCATGGCATGCAACTCCGTAATATTGCTATCTTTTCTCTTTCAACAGGGCCTCACTTTGGAGCTCCTGTGTGGTGCTGCCCCTTCTGGCTCTGACATGGATGTCTGCAGTGCTGGCCATGACAGATAAACGCTCCATATTGTTTCAAATCCTTTTTGCTGTGTTTGATTCATTACAAGGCTTCGTGATAGTCATGGTCCATTGCATTCTTCGGAGAGAGGTGAGAAACAGAATTCTTTTGTGAAAGAGAAAAGCAAAAGCGTGAAGGTGCATCTTAATTAACCAGTGTGGTCCTTTATTGTAATCTTCAGACAGAGTTGATCTTCTCCACTGACTGTTGCTTAAGATGCAAAGCAAAAAAAGAAGCATTAAGGCAGAATTTATGAGGCTTTGACACTCAGAAAGGGACAGATGGAAATACAGGGGTTTGTACAAGGGAAACACATCCAGAGGTGTTAAGAACTAGGAAGAACAGATTCAAGACAGATAGAGTAAGCTAGGTATGCTGGACAAAGTAGAGGAAGAAAGGATAAGGTGGGCATGTCTTAAATGGCACTCTTCATAAACATCATTCTGTGCTATTTCTTACCTATTTCCTAATCTAGCTACTACACAGAGCGTATCCTTGGGCCTGTTATTAACTCATCTTACTTTACATGCAAATTGCATTTTAAAGTTTCTAAAGATAAGTGATCTTGATTTGTGTATTTGTGCCAACAACTACAGAACCTGCATATAATAAGGCATTGTAGGCAGTATTTGTCCATAAGAACTACAGGCCTACAATCAAGGCACATCGCTGGGTCACAGTTGTTTATTTTCCGTGAAAGGAAAAGGACAGTTCCTCTGGGCTAGAGACACTGAGCAGCCCCAAGCTCATCTAAGAAAGCGAGAGACTGCTGATTTGTGTTGTTTAGGGATAAAATATTGTTTTCCAACTAGTGTGAAAATGATCTTGAGTGCTTGCAAGCACTGACACAGTGTTTACAAGGTTTATGAGTCATCACAGTGTTTGCTCTGGGGAGGAGTGGGGACTAAGGAATGTGCCAACACCATGCCATGTGAGTGGTTTTGAGAGCAGTCGACTGTTGGTCCGCGTTAGCTAGCTTGCCTGAGTAGCTCGTTGTGCTGTACATACTACAGAGTGTGTGTGCATCTGAGCACACACCCCATTGTTTTACAGTGATGTGTGAAGGTACTGGAAGGCCTTAACCTGATTTATTAGGTGGGAAGAACATAAGTATTTCTACCTTATTTCAGGAAGGCACAGATGTCAGCAATGAACACACAGGTGTCTTCTAAGAATATTCTATGACGAGAAGCCATGAAAACAGATGAAGTGTGACTTCTTCATCTTGCAAGGGGGAGATATTTCACAACTTCAAAATCTAAAGTAGCTTACAACTGTCAAACCTTGTTCACCAATTTCTACCTAAAATATCATTTCTAAAATCTCCCGAATATTGAGTTCTTTATATAGCAAAGCAATAAAGGTTAAAAAGGAATTGAATGATAATTTAGATTATATTCTTTTCCAATTATGACTATCTTGTGGATCACCTGTATTAACATTCCTCTATGACTTTTAAGTAACAGAATTCTTCTAAATTAATAGGCACATAGCCATTTCAATTGACAATTAAGGATGGACTATTGCATGGCTTTAAGCAAGGTGCAAGACATATCTGCATGCAATTTTCAGAAGAAACTAATCCCCCAGTTATTAAGGTATAGACAAATACTCTACCTTTAAATAAATTCTTTCTCTTAAAGACATGGCCTCATGTAGCCTACAGCAACCTCAAACTTACTATGTTAAGTTTTATGTTGTGCTAGGACCTGAACCCAGGGCTTTGTGCATGCCAGGCAAGCACTGTACCCGCTAAGCCACATGCCCAGCTCATGTCTCTTTTTTAGACACTGTTAGGATATCAAAATAAACAGAAATTTAAGTGACAGATATTATGATGGCTTATTATCAAGTTTTTTGCTACTTACAAGGAGAAAAAAATTGGCAGAAAAATTCTTGATAACAATCAGAACTTTTCAGTACTTTCTAATTAGACTGTCAACGGTCAAAAACATGATTTAAGTGCAATTAAGTCAAATCATGAAACAAATGCTTCTACTAAATAAGATATCTGTAAATCCATGTTTTCTCTATTAGCAGGAGCAAAAGCATGGCCATTTTCTCTGATACTGTTCAGTGGTTAACTCCAACTGAATAACTGTATTACTGGTAAATTCTTAGTGAATTGCTATAGCATTCTTTAGTCCTAACATTATTCTTTGTAGATTTTTGTTGTTGTTGTTGTTGAACCATACAAACACTTTGTACTTTGCTAAAAATACATACATTTCAGTTAAGGACAAATGATCTTCAGAATTCCTAAGAGAAGTTTTGTTATTAAAGAAAGAAGGGGTTTTTCAATTTGTAATTTAAACCATTGTGTACATTACATGGGACGTATCATACCTAGCAAGCTTCCTTAGAAGCAAAACCTCTTTCTACTCTACATGTGTATGACCTGACTATGGGTCTGTCTCATGTTGTGACCTTGTTGCCCTAACATTGAATCTAGTGTAAGAGAAAAGAAACCCCTTTCCCATGTCCTCTGTGCCTCCTATCAGTACTATTTCCATAAAAAAGTACCAAAGCAAATGCAGTAGTGTTTGTGAAATGCTGAGTTGTAATGTGTGGCTCTTAAATATTTAATTTGTAGTTCTTAGCTGATCATCCACAGGAGACCTAAATACAGTTTTGTCTTTCTTTCTTTCTTTCTTTCTTTCTTTCTTTCTTTCTTTCTTTCTTTCTTTCTGTCTGTCTGTCTTTCTTTCTTTCTTTCTTTCTACCATTTTATTTCTCTGCTATTTTCAGAATAATTTCATATAATTTGTATAGAATTTTTCTTTCTTAAAAATATGCAAGCCATGTAAGAAATACTTTTGGTGTAGAGCCTGAGTACATACATATTCTAATTCCTATCTATTTTTTTTACATACCAACATAATTTGCTTCTTTTTAGCTATTGCTGTTTTTACTCATATTGACTTGCCCAATCTTTGTGGAAGAGGATGAAATATAGCCTTGCACTTACAGGAAGAATGGACTGCAGGGGTGGCATTGAGGATGTAAAATACAGAGAATATTTTAGGTGTGATTTTGCTTTTGACAGGCTCAAGTGTCAAAGAAAAAATAATTCCTAATCTGGAAACAAGGGAGAGAGAATTGCGCCGGCACTGACCTCTGAACGTGTGTGTGTTTACATGGCTGTGGTGTATGCTCATGTGCCACTGCACTGTCTATGTGCTCCCATGTGGAGCCAAAGGAGAGCTTCAGGGGTCCTCTTCCGTTCTCTGCCTTATTGCCTTGAGACAGACTCTCCCACTAAACCCAAAGCTCCACCCTTGGCTAGGCTGGCTGGCCAGCGAACTCTAGGGAATCCTCCTGTCTCCGTGTCTGCATTCACCCCAAGGGCTGAGATTACAGGTTTACAGCTATGCTGGTTCTTTCACACAGACACCAGGGATTCAAATTCGGATGCTCATGCTTGCAAGGCAAACGTGCTTACCCACTGAGCCACGTACCCAACCCCCTTATTTGTTTCTATAAAAAGGAAGTTGACTATCTAGATGCCTGTTCCTGATCTCTAGACCTGACGAACTTAGTAGTATTTGAATACCATTTTTGTTTTCTTAACAGGAGAGTTGCTTCTTTTAAAACATCCTTGTCTTTTTGAATTGTTTTAGCAAATGTTTCTAAGTGGGGGCGGGAGAGACAAAACTAAAAAAAGAGAAAAACCGTTTCAAAATAGTCAGACATCACAATACATTACACATGACCTAGACACTAATGTGTGTTCTAGACAATCAGATTGAATCTAGTAGAACAAGTATAGATGTTTCCTGCATTCGTTGATTAGAATTCATTTGGACTGAACAGATAAAAACGCATACTATTTACTATTCTCCTCATTGCTATGGAAATGAAACTACACAGAGTTAGGAAACCTTTGGAATAGTTCCTGTTGCTAGGAAACCACTTTCTTGGTTCCTGCACATTCTTCTCATCTCTGTCTCTGGCTGTGCCAGGCTCGAAGACAGTCTTGCAGCTTGATGTCAGAGGGGGAAAATAACAAGATTGTGGTACCAACTAATCTAAAATAAAGCCCTGCCACTAAATGGAAGGGGAAGGGGGGCTTAAAATTTAAGCCTTAAATGGATGATCTTGTTGTGTCCCTGTGTAAGCATCCTGTGGCTCTTCCACGACTTTAGTATCAGGGCCAAGATCTTCTCTCTCTCCCAAGCTCTGGCATGAAGGCTGGCTGTGCCAGATGAGGCCTCAAATATTCATTCAAACCCGTGAAGCAATTTTGCAGGAAAAATTGTTAAAATAAACATGAACTGTTTCTCTCTCTCTCTCTCTCTCTCTCTCTCTCTCTCTCTCTCTCTCTCTCTCTCCCTCCCTCTCCCTCTCCCTCTCCCTCTCCCTCTCCCTCCCTCTCCCTCTCCCTCTCTCTCTCCCTATCCGTCTCCCTCTCCCTCTCCATCCATCCATCCCTTCCTCTCTCCCTCCTTCCCACCTATCACAGTTCTAGTTAGAGCACTGGATGGCCTTGATGACAACTACTTACACCATGTGGTATCTGAAAAGCAGTGAATGTATGTTATAGAGCTAGTAAGTGGCCAGGTGTGGAGAGAGTCAGGGCTTGATTGGAACATTTCGCTTGGAAGACGGATAAATAGCACACCGATTAAGAGACGGTCAAGCCATTTACGAACACCGTCATACTTTTCAGGCTGAATTTAAAATTCCAAAAGAAAATCATTTAAAGAGCAGTAGTTTTGCTTTGTTTTCAGTAAAATAAATATGTGCCTTGAAGTAGGAGAATGACAGGAGGCAACAAAACAAGCCTCAGTTGGTCGTGACATAGCCAAGAACAGTATGTTTTCAGTCTTCCATGTCCGCAGAAGCCGCCGATCTCACCTCGCTCCGCATCCGGTTTGTTAGACAAGGACACGCCCATCTTGCTGCTTCTAGATTAGGCTTTCCCAGGCCGTCATCATTCCAGTTACATGGTGACCATCTGCATCCTTCTGAATCTTCAAACTCATGTCCACACAGACACATAAGAGGTTAACAGATGTGTAGACTCTGGTGAGAGAGATAGCTTCAGTGAACAAGTCCAGACACGAAGGGCTTCAAACACAACGTGATATCCCAGCATGCCTAGCAGGGGGCATCCAGCTGTGATTTATGTCACTGAATTCTTCCAGTTACAGTTTCCTCCCGGCTGCCCCCTACTCTGGGGAGCAGCGTCATGCTGCTGCTGTCTGGAGTGAGAGGCTGGACACCAGCAGATTGACAGGCAGCTCCCACTCCCCTCTCCTCTCAGACCCCCAAGATCTCACCTTCCAGTTCTGTTATATACTGGTACAGTGTATGTGTCTTGACGAAAGGAATCAAATGAAAACTTACCTGGCTGTTCCTAGCTTAAAAACTGTCTTTTTGTTTTGGTTCGTTCCTCGGCTTAAACTGTTCTCATCTTTGTTCAGTAAATTGGAAAGGCTAGAAATAGAATGATGTTCAGGAATGAGGGCTTTCAAAGCAAGAAGCCTGGTTCCGTTTTCGGCGTCCGTCACCTACGGTGATAATGTTGGGCGAATTCCTTGCAGTCGCTAAGCGTGATTCTTCTCTTCTGTGCATCGCAAGGCTGTCTGTCTCAAAGGCTGTGGCACCAGGCTGAAATGAAATGCCTCCTGTGAAGGTGCGAGGCATGGTGTCTAGCACACGATTCTTTCCTCTCACATTTGCACACTAAAGGAACACTGCTACGTTTATTTCAGACCATGTGTTTGAAAGATCATCTAAAGAACTTTCAGTGTGCCCCAAAGAGGGCTATAAAAAACTAGCTTGAAGGTCAGTCAAACGCACAGACGTTTCAGATAGCCAGTGGTAGATCCTTCGGCACTGGGGGAATCCCAATAAAGATTCATCAGGGCTTGAGGCTGAGAGTGAATTCTGAACTTCTCATTGTATAGCAAAGGACAAAGCTTCCTTTTTTTTTTTATTTCACTAGGAGAAAAGTCAAGTAATATTTTTTAAATGTCAAGTCACGTGTGCTACTTATGTCAATTGGCATCATATTTGTGAAACTGAGTCGTATTCATTCATTTAATGATTAAATACAAATTACATCATGTTGAAAAAAAATCTGTGCCATTTGTTCTAGTTTGAATCAATAGATGTGACTGTGGACACAAGACTGAAAAAGACACATAGCATGTCAGAAACCCCCTTCCCAGAAATCATAACAACTGAACACAAGCATAAAATGTGTGTATTCCTGACTTACAGTGACCTTGTAAGTTCCCAAAAATTCACAAAGAGTAACTTGAGGTAAAACTGTCTCATCTCTCAGAGGTGAAGATTTGGGGTCTGAGCAGTTCAGCAGCTAAATCCAGAGCCCGTTCCAAACTGTGGAACTCTTCCCAGTGAGGCTTTATGGATTTGTAACACTGCCAATGTGCTGGGTGCCCCTCTCCCGCAAACCTCTAAATCTGGCATGGACTTTGCACAGTGATTCTCTGCCAGCTGCCTCTAGAGTGAGGACCAATTGAGAAGCTCTCGGCTTGCTGCTGCTGCTGAGAAAACCCAAATGTCTCACCCCATGATGGAGAGGCAGGAGCTAGACTTTCCCTGCAAACTACTTTGAACTCAGATCTCATCCAGGAAACCATATGCACTGAGAAAGACCAATTGCCTCTCTAGGCATTTTTTAAAGCAGCCCCCTCGCTGCTCTGCAACTTAGTAGAGACAGCCCCGATGGCTATCGCTGTATTCTTAAAGATGTTGCCCTCTGTTCTTTCCTTTATCTCCTCGCAGGCCATAAGGCTTCCTTAAAGTCCCCTAAATATTTTAAAGGTAATGACATATCTGTTCCTTGCTGCTCCCTCTTACTTTTAGCCCCATCTGGTCATCATTTAGAATGACAGACCTATTTCAGAATGTTTCAAAGAGAAGACATTTTATAATCTAGATATGAAGTGTGGCATAATTAATGTTAAATATTTCATTGTTCCCCCCACAGATTCATTTAAAAATTGGGTTTACTGGCCTCCAGAAAGTTTTTGAAATGCTAATTTCACAGGAACTCAGATTTGTAATGATAATATAGAGTGACAAACTAATGTTAACAGTTTTAAATAAAGCTGTTAACTAAATTAAGGAATTAGTTCTCTATAAATAGTAAATAAAGGACAGTTACTACTCACCATTGTAAATATAATGTTGGCATAGGAGATTCAGGGCGACTTTAATTTTAGTATGGCATAGAATGACCTATTTTTTTCTTTTTGTTATTTATTTTCATGTTTGTCTAGAACTTGAATTTTAAACAGTTCCAGTTTGTCACAGGTATAATTCACATTAATTCCCCAAGGATAAAACTCTTTGTTTACCTAATTCAATTATCAAAATGTTTGCACTTGACTGAATCTTTTTCCAGATAGTATCTTCTCTTATGTCCCTCTGTAAGGCAAGGAGATTTGCCAAGTGCATGTTGTCTCAACATCTCCTCCCATGGTGTGGAGCAGATATTTAATGCCAATTCATCTTGATAGCCTCAGTGTATTTTCAGATTAAAAAAAAATCAAATAAAGCATTTGGAATCAAATGAAATTTCTCCTGAAATCCTTATGAATGAGAGTTGTGCACTAAAAATGTCTTAGAATCTAATTCTTATATTTGACACCTGTAAGAACCTTAAAGTGACCTTAAACATAGTGGAATCTTTGCGTGCTTTTCTGTCTTCTCTCTCTTCCAAACAGCACTGACTGACCAATAAAGCTGATGTCAGTCTCCAGTGTAGACGTGCCCTTAGCCCACTGTTGCTTTGGGAGTTTTGCAGTCAAAAGTATTGATTGTGCGTGTGTCTAAGTGTATGTGTTGAAAAGGAGATTTCTTTTATATATCTTTCAATCAACCAAACAATGATTTGGAAGAGAAATTTATAGAATTTGCTTTTCCATGTTTTTTTTAATGTCAGCTGTTAAAATCCTTGACAACTTTTTGGTGATGGCTTCAAAATAAAGAACACTTAGCCAGGACCAGAGAGAATAATGTTGTTTACCATTGCCCCCATCAGTGCAAACACACAACTCTCACCCTTTCGAAGGAGAGAAGTAGTTTATTCTAGAGCCAAATATGAGTGACAGGGCCCAGGAACACAGATTTAGGTCAGCCAAAATTCCATGGTCCAGCACGCTAACACTGTGCTGAAGTTGTTATAGTAACAACAAAGGAAAGTGCGCATCAAACCACCTCTCATCTACATGGATGGAAACCTCACGTGGTCAGTGGAAGCCAAACGGGGAGCTGCTGATATAGTTTACATGGCGACTTTCATTCCCACCGCAGTGTTTCATATTTTGTATATGCTGGTATTTAGAAGTAGGTTTAAAGGGAATCTTCATGTGGCACACTCCCCAAAGACAATGTTCCTAATGTACTGTATATTTTCCTTTATGAAATGTACTTTAATTGTTGCCTTGGGGTATAAACAGAGTTTAGCCTGACCCTGTTTTTCTGACAGTGGTTTATAAGATTTAAAAACAACAACAACAACACACATTTACTTTGTGATTTTCCTAATTCAGATTTAGGAATCACATAAAAAGAATGGCCGCCTGGCAAACGCTGAACTCATTACCAATTTTCTCTTGTTGATTTATTATTTTATAACCTATAATGACTTCTTGGTCTAAAAAGGAATCTCCTGAAAATATTCATGATGAAGGAGTTTTTTGCTCTGTCCTGGGTCTGTCTGCCTCACTGGGAGAAGCAAGATGATTCAGTCCTTCTGTTCATCTGAGTCTTCGGAAAAGGAAACAGAGTAGATTAAAGTCCAACCGGACTCTTAATTGATGTGTTGGACCAAAGAAATGTTATTAGGGAACTGATCGTTCTTTTGGAGGAATCCGAGATTAGCAATATTAGCATTGTAGAATGGAAGCCATCAGAAGACACCTGCTCTCAGTTGCACTTCACAGAACCTGGCTGCACCACCAGCAGAGAACTCTAGGGAGAGAGATGATGATGTGTGTCCTGGTCTCTATAGGGCCGGCAGGCAGTCTGTGAGAGCGACTACACAGGTCCGCATTCCAGACCCAAACTGTTTTGGGGAAGAGTATTGATGACTCAAAAAATGGGAGGAAGGAGACAAAAACAAATGAGTGGACTCAGGTTTTGATCCATTCTCTTCTGTGTTGTTCTGTTTGTTTCCTGGCCAACATGTATGTTGTATACATCTCACATCAAAACTGAGACTGGATGGTATATAGCTGTGCTTTTCAAAAGAGAAGACCCACATGTGTTTACCCTGCAGTCTCTATAAGAGTGATTCAATAGAGGGAAAACACAACATCACCTATGCTTTTAATAACAGTAAAACAGATTATAATAGACAAGAAGGAGAATATCAAACACATGAAGGCATAGAAAGTATTAAAAAATGACTTGGCCATTAATTTGGGGTAAGTAGCCATCTGTGAACATATTCACCAACTACTTGAGAGCAGCCTAAGGGACCACAGAAAGGAGGATGTGCATTCTGATGCTGAGGTGTCATGTGATCAGAAAACAGCAGTTGCTTTTGTAACACAACCAGTGGTGTTCCCTTTTCCGCTCTTTGCCTCTGCTGAGATTTTGTGAGAAAACAATTAATGTGACATTCTTAGAAACTCCTTGTGATATGTTTATGCTACATCCAAGACTTGGTGGGAGGTCAAGGAAGTCTAACTGAGCTAAAGAATTTTGATCTTTCCTACGTCAATCAACCGGAAGTCAAGAGATGTGTTTTATATTGTTCTGTTGTTTCCTGTTTTTTATGTCTGGGGATGCAGACATAAAGGAAGAGAAAGGAATAGTCTTCCCACAAGTTTCTTATGTGAGTCAGAAAAGGAAAAATCCCTAAATCAATTCTAGTCAAAAGATTATTGAGTGATTTTATTATTTAAAATGTTTAAATCTGTTATGGATCTTACACAATAGTAAATCACACACACACACTAGCATGCTGTGGTTTGTAACAATAGGAGAAAAACCACCGTATGGTAACAATGCCAAGGATCAAGCCAGAAATGGCCATCATGCTCTCTCAAGAGTTCCAATACTAACTTGGTAGATGATGACAAGTGATAAATACCATGGGCAGTAAGGCAAGCCAAGTACACCTATATTTGTATTAAGAAGTAAACAGTGTCAGGCATGGTGGTACTGGCCTTAATCCCAGCATGTGGTAGGCAGATGTAAGTAGATCTCTGTGAGCTTGAGGCCAGCCTGATCTGCATAGCGAGTTCTAACCCAGACAGGAAACAAGATGAGAAATATACCATGCAAGCAAAGATAGCATTTTCTCATAATTGATAGGCTATATGGACAGTATCTAGTTATTATGAAGAAAAAGAAGAAAATTGATGGTTTTTTTTTTCCTTTCCACAGGTTCAAGATGCATTTAGATGCCGGTTGAGAAACTGCCAGGATCCAATCAATGCTGATTCTTCAAGTTCTTTTCCTAATGGGCATGCTCAAATCATGGTGAGCTTTTATTTTCTTTCAGGTTGATAATTAGATCATGGTTTCTCAAGAGAAAATGTATATGTATATGGAACAAATTCCTTGTTAATAAAATCTTCTAAAATCACAATTCTGCATTAGTTCATTAAGACTAATACTTTAGAAGCTAGGAAATGACTTAGTGGTTAAAAGCACTTGCTGCCTTTCCAGAGGACTGGAGTTCAGTTCCTAGCACCCACATCCACAGCTCATGAGTGCCTATAACTCCAACTCCAAGGGATTTGATGGCCTCTTCTGGCCTCCATGTGCTCCTGCTCACATGAGCATGCACGCGCGCGCGCGCGCGCGCGCGCACACACACACACACACACACACAAATACATAAATAATAAAACAAACATTTAAAATAAATACTTGCTACTTTGACGTCCAATAAATGTTCTTTCTGGATTGCCTTCCAATCAAGGATCTGCCGTTGACTCCCTTGGGTGTTTAGAGTGGTGCTCTGTACAACAGTGGAGAATATTTTCATCTTGTCTGGAATTCAATTCAAGATGGTTTTTACACATGAGCATCATGGACTTTCATGTTTGTTTTTTTCTATGTGTGTTGTGGGTTTTTCCCCTTTCTCTCTTTTTATTAATTTTTGAGAATTTAATAAAGCAGATTTTAATTGTAGCCCCTCTCCCAACTCATACTTAGTTGAATACTAGAATCCTTAGAGTAGCTGCAACTCAGAGCAGTTAAATATGTGTCTTTAAAGGTGACCCCAGGTGATGGTGGCTCCCCTGTATAGCCTAAAGAAAACACCAAGAGACTAAATCACAAAGAAAAGGCCCCCTTCCGGTGATGGCTCCATACTGTACATGATCCCAGAGTACTGGTAGAGTTAAGGCTGCTGTAGGCATAAACACTTTGTCAAACTTTAGAAGTGAGATAAAATTACTGTCATCAAAACAGAAACGCATGTTGGGCGTTGTGGTGCATGCTTGGAATGCCAGCACTGTGAGGGAGGCGGAGGCAAGTGGAGCCCCGCACTCAAGGGCACTCCGGACTGCACTGCATGATTCTGTCTCAAAAGAAAACAACCAACTAACAACATGAGCAGACCTGAGACTGAAGAGGAATGAGCTTTCTGTAGCATAACTGTTTCATTGTTAACATGTTTGGAGTAGGGAACATAAAAAGTATAGCAAAGCAATGTGTAAGGTGAGAAATAATAAGCCGTTCCTTGCAAAAATCAGAGAGCCATAAAAATCTCTGTTTCAGATACTGATGGTGGACTGGCCAGATAAAGGTAAAGGCGTTTGCTTTGCAAACCTGGTGACCTGGATTTCATACCTAGGATCCACTTCAACTTAGGAAAGAACCAAAACCACAAAGTTTTCCTCTGACCTCCACATGCGTATGCATCTACATACACACATAGTACTAATAGTAATAGTGGTAATAAAAATGAATATTAATAAGGAAAGGGATACAATTGAAAAACGTTGCTTACAACAGGCTAACTTGATTTTACCATTAAAAATTAAGCTGATTTGTTTAAAATATGAATTTGGGGGAAAGTGGTACTAATATCCCAAAGATTCTAGGCTTAAGGAATAGGTGTTTAACCATCAGCTTTAATCTCTGACCTAAGAGCCTCTGGTCACAGTAGAGAAAATATGATTCTGTACAAGTGTGAGCATTAGCAAAACTACATCAGAGAATATTGCATCATGGGTAACACACTGAAACTAGAAGCATAAAATACAAAAAACGAAGACATTTATTGAAGGATATTTCTAATAGCATACCTTCTGGTTGCTTTATTAAAGTTAGGCTATTTCCTTCAAATTCTGGTCCTGTTTTTGTTTTGTTTTTGAAGCTCTGGAGAGTGAACCAAGGCCCTGTGTGGCCTATGCAAGCTCAGCCACAGAGTTACAGCCCCCGATTTTAATTTTGAGACAAGATCTCATGTAGCTTAGGCTAGTCTCATCATTTAGCCAAGGATGACCTTGAACTTATGATTCTCCTTCCTTCACCATCCCAAGTGCTACATTACAGAGGTATGCCACCACTTACACTTTTATTCCATTCTGGGGATTGAAACCAGGGCCTCGGGCATGCTAGGCAAGCACTCTACCAGCTAAGCTATGTGCTACATCCCTATCCCCACCCCTTTAAACTTTTAGATCAAGCATGGTCTCACAGACCTTGACCTCATTCTCTGGCTCAGGTAGGCCTTGAACATGTAATCGTCCTGCTTCATCTTCCTAAGTTGCTAAAATGACCACTGGAACCACCAGTCACAGCTAAAATTCTGTCATTTTTATGTGGTATTATGTTACCATATCAAAACTATGCCACTTTCCATGGGTTTTATTCACCATTTTGTCTCTAGAACATTCTGATTATTCCTTGAGAATCTTCTGTTGCACAAAACAATAAACTGATCCTGGCTAGCCATTACATCTATAAGCTTCAGAAAATTTGAATGTTAATAACGTTTGAAATCTTCCTTAAATAATGATTCTGTGCCTTATTATTTCCTGTTACAGACAGACTTTGAAAAGGATGTAGACATTGCTTGTCGATCTGGTAAGAATTCTTTGATCTTTTAACTATAATCTGTAGGGAGGTGAAATCATTTTGTGGGTTGTGATCTTTAAAAAGGGCGGTGCTTTGTACATCACACTCAGGTGGGTGGATAGTGGCATCTTCCAATGAAAATCACTGTCACATCAGGAATCTATATACAGAGGGTACAGAGAAGGAAGGAGAACTGAGAAGGAATAAGGAATGGATGATGGAGAGCATCATAGCAGCAGAAAAAGCACTAGACATGCCATAGACTTCCATCCTCACGAATAAGAGCAGTTGTAAGGCAACTGACTGTAGCTGCTGTGTTTATCATAAAAAGAGTGTGAATCACTACTGGTGAACTACCAGTGTGTGTGTGTGTGTGTGTGTGTGTGTGTGTGTGTGTGTGTGTGTGTGTATATGTGTGTGTGTGTGTGTGTGTGTGTGTATTAATGGTAGCTGTGTGTGTGTGTGTTAATGACAGCTGTGTGTATGCGCGCGCACGTGTGCGTGTATGTGTGCGTGTGCGTGTGTGTGTGTGTGTGTGTGTGTGTGTGTGTGTGTGTGTGCTAATGGTAGCTGTCCTCTAGCCATGGCAGATTTTTCACTAGAGAAGAGGGCTTGTAAGTTTTAAAGAAAATTGCATATTTTCTATTTTGGATGTTTTTTTCCCTAGTTAGGAAGTTGTCTCCCAAAGCACATCAAAAATGTGCCACATTTTACCTTTTATTTGTTTTTCTCTGTGCTGTCTTTTTGCATATTAAAAGTGGATATATATGTATTTCATCTGAGTATCCAAATATTTGAAATCAAGTATCAATTAGTTCAATCAGAGTGCTTTTTGCCTTCAGATTTAGCAGCCATGTGCCATCATTCATTTCTAATAGCATCTTCCAAGGCCTGGTGCTCAAATAGGCCCCAATTTGTCAATAAATTTAAATTATAGTGTACACATGTATGCATACACATCCAGCTTTCATCGCAGTTGGCTGTTTTCTTGTATTAACGTGGTCTACACTCACATCTGATTTATGCTTCAGGACAAGTGTCAGCTTGTCATCTACAACCTCTAAAATGTTTTATGGGTACTGTTGGGGATTCTCCTAAGAATATGTAAAAGTTATGCTTCTGGTATGTTTTCCTAGAAAAAAAATAAACTTCTGCATTTATCTCTATACACTGTCATCTTAACTTCTTTCAGGATAGCATCTATTTGCGGTTGTGTGGCCATTGACTGTTTGACGTGGTGCCTTCTAAGTTTCCATCCAAACTGTCTGCTAAGGAGTTGAATGTCATGACAGCCATTGCAGAGCCTGCTGTGTTAGGAAAGGCACCCACTTCCTCCTTCCAGACTCCCTTATGTGTTGTTTTCAGATTCAACTCAGAGCCATGACAATCTGGGCAAATGCCAGATCATATTTCTTGCCATAATCACAGTCACATGGGAAACCAATCTTGAATTCAATCGAAACACTCTGGGTATGGTCACAGCAGTCGTAAGCTAGCCGCTATGATTTGGCAACCCATAGTGGGCCTGTGAGAAGAGGAGGAATTATCTGTTCCTATAGAAAGCAATCTTATCCATCTTCTACGATCTCTAAAATTCACAAGCCATGGCACAAGTTTCCGAATTTATAGAATACAATTTGGCTGTGTCGGGAGGCTTAAACTTATTTTAATGGTTAGGTATCTGTTTAATTCCTAATCATCCATCCTCAATTTAGCTTCCTTGCCTCTCTTCATGTATTCCTTGGAGTTCTTGACAGAGGAATGAATGAGAACAGACACTTTTGTCTTCTCCTTAACAACTATTTATGTCAAATCAGTGCTTGTCAAAGTGTGGTACTCAAACAAGCAGTGTGCCATGTGCCGCTTCTTAGAAATGCAGTTTTGAAGACCTACCTAGACCTTCTAGTCCAGAAACTGTGGGCCGGGGACACAGTAGCCAGGGTTAGAAGTCCTTCAAGTCACTCGGATGCATTGTCAGTGCTGAAAACTCCCATGTCAGACCCTCTCCCCAGAGCTGTACTACCCATCCCTTCAGCATGCACAATGTTGTCTTTTGGATAGATTGTTCCTTTTCCAAATCTGTACTGGAGACTGGGTTAAGCCTTTTCAACACAGACTAGTACCACTGTGTTATTAAGAAACAACTGACAATATACAATCTGTTTTCGTTTTTGGCCAATGCCCTTTTTAGTTGAGCTCATCAGGTGCTTCCCTCCGAGTTTTTCAAGAGATGTCTACATGTGTTGGCTGTAGTGAATTTTAAAGTCTCAGTTTCTGGGCTCTGAGCAGTCTGTTCTAAATTTTGACAGATGCCAGAGTATACATCTGCTTGTGCTAACTCTTCA